CTGGCACGCCTGAGAGGACTGCAAGCAGAGAGGGTTCGAGGAGATCTAGTGCCACAAGACACTAGATGCTTTGGAGGTCACAGGCAGAATGTTCTTCAAGGCCTAGGTTAGCACCTTTTAGACAAATGGCCTTAGGGGCCAGGAAATGTGCCCTTGTTCCAGGCCCCAGGGATCTCCCGGATGGTGCTGCAGGAAAGTGACCAGGGCTCAGTTTGGAGCAGAGTCAGGAAGTGCTATCTGGGATCTGGGGCCAAGGTGACAAGCTTCAAACCCTGGCCCTGGGCTAGTGAGATAGCTCAGCGGTCTAAAGCGCCTGCTCAGGCAAGTGTTGCAGGGACCATGGTTCAATCCCCAGCACCACATGCTGTGCCAGCCCTGCCCCTAGAGCAGGCTGAGCTGACCACAAAAAAAAAAAAAAAAAAAAAAAAAAAAAAAAAAGATCTCCAAACCCTGACCTTGTCACCCGTGAGTGCCGGATCTTTGGTGGAAGGAGGTTAATTTCTCTGTGCCTCAGTTTCCTCAATTCTCAAATGGAGATAATGACACCCACCTCATAAGGCTGATTGGAAGTGAGTTAGTGTAGTACATACTACTTGGCACCTGGTCAGCTGTCATTGTTAAGTGGCTTTGTGGCAATGGGGTGGGGAAGGCGGGGAATGCTGGAGCAGAAGCCACAGAGGTAATGTCAGCCTGTGAGCACATGAGGACCTCCCCTGGGGCTCCAGAGATGCTTGCAGGAGAATCAACGTTGTTCAAATAGAAGCTGGACCTGATGCCAATGGAGCTCTCACAGCTGACAGGAATGGCCTGGTACCCAGGTCTGGAAGGCTCCTCTGCGGATGCTGTGTTGTCCCAGGGAGTTTGACTCCTAAAGTAGCTGCTGATAAAAGGCCAGGAAACCTCTGATGCCCTGCTCTAAGCACCTCTGGGGTCTGGGCCTGTGTAGTGAAGGGGGGCACGATGCTACATGTTCTGAGAAGGAGGGGGGAGGCCATGGACACTATCATGGGAGCAAATAGGGAAGAACCAGAGGAAAGGGGATTCTGGGGACCTGGGAGCCCTCCCTTTATACACAATGTCTTGCCCACTGCAGGTCTTGTGGAAGCAGAACCCAGGGAGGGCGACAGATCCCAGCTTGCCCAGAATGGAGGGCCCAGGCACAGTGCAGGCTCCCTGGTGAGATGGTGAGCTCCCAGGCCTGGAGACATTCCTACAGATTCACAAGATACAACCTCTGGGACTCAGTTTGCAGGTACAGATTAGATCAGATATCTATGATTTGAGAAGTTCTAAGGTTTGGTATACAAGTTATAGAGAGGGTTGTGGTTCTGGGAGGAGCTTGAGTCCCTCCAGCCCTGATGGTCTGCCATTCTGTGGTACCCTGGGGCTCCTGGCCGACAGCTTCTGCTCCTGCGGGGGACCTTGAACTACTAACTCTTCCCTTTAGTCCTATCCTGTTCTTGGGCAAACCCTGCTCAGTTTTTCTATGGGATTTGATTACAGCTTCTGATGAGGTAAAGAGGGAGGGGGAAGGGAGGGAAGGAAGGAGAGAGGGAGGAAGTGAGAGAGTGAGGGAGGGAAAGAAGGAGGGAATAGGGAAGCGGGGGAGAGGTATAGAACATGCAGAAGCACAAGTAGAATCGAGTCCTACAGCTTTTGTGTTTTCATGTGAGGCCTCAGCTAGCACTCATGACAGGGATGGGAAAGGGAACTGGGGCTGGAACAGGCAGAGCTAGGAGCAGACCCGAGGGAACTAGAAACCCAGAAGGATGCTCTGCTCTTTGCCCGCTCCACAGAGTGGGAATTCACACTGTGCTGGGACTTCCGGATGAGCCCTCCTAGCCAGCCAGCTTCTCGGGCTGCCTGGCTTGCACCACTCCCAGGGACACAGGCTCCAGTCCCTGGAGGCCCCAGCTGGGCTCAGGAGGCCCAATCCTCCCCTGCAGCCATGGCTGCCCACAAAGCCCAATGTGGGTTATCCATGGATGCAAAAGGGGGAAGAAGCTTTTAACTGGCCATGCCAAGCTGGCTTCTGGAGAACTCAGAGCCTGGCAGAGAGTAAGAGAGTGTCCAGTCTCAGGTGGCCCTTTAGTCTGAGTGTCCAACTGCCCCAGCTCTTTGGGAACCTTAGGGCTGGGCAAACGGGCAGAAGCCAGGAGATGACAGCTAATACTGGTCTGGGTAACCCACAAGGACCCACAGGCATGACTACATTAACAGACTCTGCCTCGAGGTCTCTAAACCCGGATGTGGAGGAGCTGGGATTCAGGCCAGCTGGGTCTCACTGCAAAGCCCCTACTCTTAAATCTTATGCTCCATGTCTTCCCCAGTAGCACCTGGGCTTCCTGTCTCCTAACCCACCTGAATTTCTCACAGGTCCTTCTGCTGGGGTCCAGCCATGCAGAAGCCCCCAGTACCTGCAAACTTAATACATATCTTGATCTCCCACAGCCCAGAGAGAGAAGGGCCTTCGGACACCATCAGAGCAGTGCCCATCATTCTGTAGAAGTCTGGTTCTAGCTCCAAGTTAGAGGTCACTGAGCTTGTGGGAAACTAAAATCTGGAGCCCTGGCTGGCCAAACAAGGGTCTGTGACCCTCAACTGTGCAGCCAGCTCATGAATTCCTTCCTCCTCCAGGCCACCCCTAGAAACTCACCTTCACCTTGGCTTAATGGAGCCGCACGTATGGATGGCTTGAAGCCACACAGATAAGAAGGGTCATCAGGTCTTTCTAAGGGCTTGTTTGGTGCCTCAAGAATATGGTTTGAAGGGGCCGGGGAGATGGCTCAGTGGAATAAGCGCTTCCCTGGCAAGCGCAAGGGCCTGAGTTCAACCCCTGGTTCCGCAAAAAAAAAAAAAAAAAAAAAAAAAAGAATATGGTTTGAAAGGCTTTTTAATCTTTCTTTGTTTCATTATTTATTTGGTACAAGGTCTCACTATACAGTTCATGGTAATCCTGTCTCAGCCTCCCCAACGCTGGGATTACAGGCTTGTACCACCACGCTCGGTTTTGGTGGCCAGCACCATGTGCCCAGGGTTCCAGGGCCGGCAGAGCATGTGGTAGTGGGTTTTGAACCCAGGTCCTTATGCTTTCCAGGCAAGTGCTTAGACCACCAAGCTGTCTCCCCAGCCCCCGAAAGGCTTTTTAATAAAAGAGGTGTGGAGTCAGAAAAAAAATCCTGAACTCACCATAAAAGCTAGTTTTCACTGATAATGGACTTGTATCTTGTCTGATCGAATTATTATTATTAATTATTACTATTTTTATGTATTAGTACAGGGTCTACAGGGTCTCACTACACAAATCGGACTTAGAGTGATCCTCCTGTTTTCAGCCTCCCAGTCTCAATTGCTGTCTCAGTGCGCCCAGGGGACGGGGCCAGCACAGCATAGTGGAGATCGAACCCAGTCCCTGCATCTGCCTAAGCAGGTGCTTTAATCCACTGAGCTATCTGGCCAGCCCTAGTTATTACTATTATTTAGGGATGGTTATATTCTTGGACAGTTGAGGAACTGCCCAGGACTGGGGAGCTAGATGTAGCATGAGAATCTGACTGCGAGGCAATTTCATTGTTGGTGAAGTAGAAGGGGTCAGTGGTAGCCACTGTAAAAGAAGTCCAGCCTGGGGAGTGAGACAGAGTCCAGGCAGGCCATGACCTGAGGAGCTGGAGGCTGACACATTTAAGTCCAGTCTGAGTGCTCTGCCTTTTTCTGCTCCAGCCCATGAGCTCCCAGAGCTTGGCAGCATTCAGGGTCGTTGTGACCCAGTGCCCACTGTGGTCCAAGATGTCCAGGGTGGGTATGGAACACTTAACAAAACCCTAAACTCCAGTCTGTGGACAGAGAGATAGTGGCACAACCTCCTGTCATTTGGGCATTCAAGGCCATCCCCCAGCCTCAAGGCTCTCAAATTCTGCATTATCTCAGTCCCATGAGCTTGGGACAAGAAGGACCATTCTTTTGTAAGTATTTGCTCTGTAAGTTCCCACAGTCATGATGTATAAGGAAAAAAAACCATCAACGTAACATGAAAATGTTCAGCAGCATCTGCCCATTTGGAAAAACAATGCTCCCCCGTACATCCTTCCCTCAGTTAACAAATGTCTGCCCTTTGGCCATGGTCCAGGGATGGCTGTCAGACACCCCAGGACGGTAAAGCTCACTGAGAACCAATTGCACAGCCAGTGCAGGCAAAGAAAACAGCGTCAGAGAACTTTGTGTGCAAGGCTTCGACCAGTGAGGATCAGATAAGGTTGGCTCTGTCAGCAAAGGAAGAAAACGTGAGGATGACAAAGATAAATTCCTCAAAAGGAGATGATTAAAAGATGTCAGGAGATCCTTGGAGTAACGGTCATGCTGTAAACGTGAGGGAGAAGTACAACGCTATGTGAACGCAGTTTGTTGGTATAAAAAAGTAAGTCCATCAGCCCCCAAACCAGCACTTGATTCATTCTTTGTTCAATAAAAAGGCATAGTCACCTACACTCTGGAAAAATAGCTAAAATAGCTAGCTAAAAATAACTTGTTTTCGTAATTTCATTTGCACCATAAAAATCTCAATGATACCCTCTTGAAAGAACTTATTTCCATCATTTCCTGTTTTCTGATAAAATTTCACTGAAAGCTTTTTTCATTATTTATTATGAAATTTCTTAATCTTCATTTTAAGCATTTAAGTGGTCTTCAGCTGGTGCCAGCTACCCTGACATGACTGGGCCATCTGAGGGGACAGCTCTTTTCTGAATCTTTCTCTAGTTTAGGAAGGAACCTGGGGGATTGGGGCGGTTTGGTGCTGTAAAGCTCTGTTAGAGGCAGTCTAGAAGGTTCCACACTCAGGGTTTGGAGGACCTCACTATTCCACACGCCTTCCCCAACAGCCCACTGCAGTTCACATGGGCTGTCAGAAAACCCTCTGGCCAGCTGGAGAGCTGTGGCCTCAGCCCAGAACACTCGGCTTGGCCCCCAGCCAGGCTAGCTGCGGGCAGGGAGGGGGCACTTACTTGGCTGGTGGGGCTCTGGGCTGCCTGTGGCTCTCCGGGGGGCTCCTCATCCTCGGGAATGTGGGGCATGGCAAGCTCCTGGCCGAGTGGCTGTGTGTGCTCGGAACCTCCGCTGCGTCAGCCCCCAAGATGCTCCAAGAGGCCTGGGCTCCACAGGCTGGGGAGACGCCAAAAGGACAAGTCAAATCCCCTTCCGTCCCTGTCCCAAGCTGGGTTCCATTTCCATGAGCCACAGAGAAAGCCTGCTTGAGTTTACATCAACGCTGGAGGTCAAACTAGGCTAGGAGCGGGCATTTGGAATTGCATTTCCTCCTGCTCTCTGGCTTTGTTTACAAAGTCAGAGGTGACCTTTTACGTCTAATTTGGTCCTTACTGTAAACACAGCTATCCCAGAAGGGAAAGAAGTGCCTCAAACTTCTCAGAGCCATGGCCAATGGAGGATGCTCTGTTAGGATCAGACTGGCATTTGTGCATCATTCTGTGGGCACCTCTGGGTGGCAGCTGCCATCCTAAGAGTATGACTACCGTCATCTAATTGACTCCTGATGGCCTCAGAAGTAGGTATTCATGGTCACACTCTGCAGACCAGGGATCACAGCAGAAACCACTTGCCCCAAGCCACACAAAGAACCAAACCAAGAGTTTGCTCCAGGGCCTCTTGACCTGAGACCAAGGCCTCTGTCTACATTCCACACAAGCTTTCTCCACTGTTTCCTGACTTCCCATGGAGACCCTTGGGTGAGAAGACACAGCTTTTACTGAGTACCTACTGTGTCCCAGGTCCAAGGCCAGGTGACTGAAGGAGGTTATAGGAGGAAGAGCCAGAAACTGCTACCACCTCGCATGATGTTAGGTGTATTCCTGTTCCACAGAAAGGGGTAGGAGTGGTCTGGGAGCCAGACCATTGCAGGGCAGACTGGCCCCTGGCACCTGGCTCCTGACACAGCCGAGACTGAGGCCACTGAGCCAACACGTGCATACCTTCACACCTTGCTCCTGACACAGTGAGGTGTCTAATTCACGATGGATACTCAAAGGATTCATTGAAACGGACTATTGATTTGTGGACTAGACACCTCTAATCTTGGAATGTATCCGTGACTCCAAACTTGGCTTTTGTCATTTGCCCTGACTAGGTGGCCAGCCTTGAAATGGTTGGAGTGACCTCTGCTGGTCACCTGGAGAAATGTTCTCTGAGGTAGAACATGGGCAGGATCAGTCCTTCTCCACCAAGGCCCACACTGCAGCTATTCCGCCAGGCGTGTGTTAGGGGCTGGTGACACAAAGCAGATGCAAACATGGTCTCGACCCCCAACAAGCACGGAGTCCAGTGGTGGGAGGCAGTTAAGGAACAGTGTAATGGGATGGATGTTTTGAAAGTGAGAAGTTATAGACCCTGAGAAAAGGTCCCTAACTATGGAGATTGGGGATACTGAGACAGTTTCGGTGATGATTCCAAGTTAGAAATGGTGTTTGAACTCACCCATGAGCACTGAATGTGAATGGGATTTATATGGACAGAACATCGGGGACCTGAGCAGGGAAGCTGAGACAGGAAAAGAGGTCACGGTGGGCAGATTTCACTTTGGGGAATGAAACCCAAAAGAGCTGGGAGTGTCATGTCTCCCACACTCAATGGATGTCGTGTTCACTAACTGAACATCGTCTTCACCTATGGGTGAGCTCCATGATTAATTTTTATCACCCTTACTTGGGTTTTAGCAGTGATAACTTCAGCGGTGCTGGGTAAAGTGTATGGTAGGAGGGAATGAAGGTAGCAAGCCTATCTATAAAACCCTAATTTTGCAAGCGAAGTTAGCTGCACCTATCAGGAACCCTCTGATGTGTGTGAAAGCCCAGGATGTCTTAGTAGGAATGTGGTTTTCAACCCATGCGAGGCAGCCATTCCGCCTCGCCTTTCTGCCTTCGACTACATGATGTGTATTGTGCTTCACGGGCTGAGGATTCCGATGAAGTGAGGCCATTTAGAAAAGAGGAAGGAGGATGGATGTCTGGAGGCCAACAGTCAGTGCTTGAAGAACTAGAGACTTTTGTCTCCCTAGCATCAGAACCGGAAAGAATAAATAAAATGGGAAAGGTATAAAAGATATAGTAAAATGGAAGGAAACTGAAATAAGGAAAAAAACAATGAAGATGAGTGAAAAGAGAAAAGATAGGAAAAGGGGGGAAAATAATGCAAGTATACACAGGATAGCTGAGATGATAGTTCTACTAATTTCCATCAGGTTTTCTAAAACAGCTGTTAATATTTAAAATTTTCTCTTTGACCAACTCTACAAGCTAATACTGTAATCCGAGCAACTGCATCGAAGACAGTAATGTGCAATGCAAACACCATGGTGGAACCCTCTCCTCTTGGTCTTCCAAATGTGCACCATTTCTAATGTCTTATCAATTATTATTATACTCTCTTTAAAATAAATTTAAAAGTAATTAAGAAAAAGGTCAATAAAAACTTAAGGTTTATTGAAAGCAAGCATTTACGTTCAATTAATTGTCCAATCTTGCAAATCTACATCTGTTAATCTGAGCAACAGATTTGATGATTAAGATACGTAATCTAACAACCATTGTTAATTTGTTATTCTTGCTTTGAGAGTATGGACCATACGTATTGCTGCATGTTACTCTGGTTCTGTCTTTGTTTTTGCTATTTGCTTTTGTTTTTGTTTTTATTCACTAAAATAAAATAAAATTGTAAAAAAGAAAGAGCTAGAGACTTCCTTTGAACAAAAGAAGGTGCAGAAGGGAAATACAATCTTTTCTTAGGTATTTGAAAGGCATTCCTGGGCTTCTTCTATTCCCAACAGACAGGTGTGTGGTCGGTGACTGAAAGCTCAGGTGAAGACCCAACACACACACACACACACACACACACACACACACACACACACTAGTGGCTTGCATCCCCTGACGCTGAAGCAGGGCGTTCTTTAGGTAGTGAGCTCCCATTCCTGGGAGAGCTTCAGCAAAGGCTAAAGTAAGGGTCTCACGGAATTCCTAACCGCAATAGGCATCTTTCGCAACCCTGGGAATCCCCGAAATCCTGGCCTCCTAGTCACAACAAACCGCAAGACCCTACCCTCCCTTCCCAGAATTCCTGCATGGTGATATTCCCAAGTCACATCAGAAATATCCTATTTCCCAAACCTTCGCCTCCCTTCCCCCACCTCCTTCTCTTCAAGAAAGACCTTAGGCCAGTCTTGGGCCAGAAAATGAAACAGTAAGGAATGAAGCCGGACAGCACCAGAGGGTCCGCTGCTGCAGGGCGTGAGCAGAGTGGACGCGGACTGAGGTCCCACTCTTGCCAACACAGAGCCCCAGCTCCCGAGGGAGGGGAGAGCAGCCCCGCCGCCGGGCCATTCCCACGGTGCTCCTGCCTTGTTTGCTTTCCCTCCCATCCATTATTATAAACTTGCTGCTTAAAATAGCAAGGTAGAAGCCTAGTCCCTCCCCGAGGGTGACATCTGGGTTCCGCTGGAGCTCGTGGGCACGAGAACCTCACATCCATCACCGCAAAGTCGGGAATACAACCTCCAGGAAGTGGCGATCTAGAGCACGCCCCATAAAAGGACAAAACAGTGTGTAACGTTTGGACTCCTGGCCTGTCCTCTGTCCCACTCCCCAGTCCACCGGGGGCCTCTCCAGCCCGGTTAGGAAGGAGTTAGGCGGGAAGACGCCCGCCAAGAGCCTATCAGATCTTTTGACTCCTCCCACTCTGCCCCAGCCCTTGCTCAAGTAGGAAGTGACACCTTTTATAAAAAGGAAAGCTTAGGTACAAAGAGGAGAAAGGGCCTGACCGGTTCTAGTTACTGCTGTACCTGGTGCAAAGCACCCACTATCCTCTGCTGCGGTTAGCCGTCCAACCATCTGTGCAGCTGGAGAGGCCAGAAATTCCTAAACCACACATTTTATCTTCTCCCTGCTCTTGAAAGTAAACAGATATATTTTTGTTCCTGTTTTCCTGCATCAGACACTTCTAGGTTATCTACCGGATGCGGGATAGAGTCTCAACACCTTGCCCACAGTCCACAGCTGACAAGAGACAGGTCCAAGTCCTGCTCCAGGCTAGGAAGATCCCCGAGCCAATCATCTTTCCCCTTTCTTCTGCTAGGGTGTCACTGATGAACTCCAAGTGGGGGCTTGTGTCCTCCAGGGGAGAACAGGACTGTGATCTCCCGGCAAGGCTCAGGGCGAAGTGGGTAGGGCACAGGAAGCAGCCCCAGCACTTTGGTAGCCAGTCCAGGGGTCTTCTGAAGGCCAACGGTGGGCCTGGACTTAGAAGCTGAGTGACCTCCCTGGGCAGAGGCAGATGCCTGCATCAGTCCATCTGTTCCGGGAATGTCAGCCAAGCCCTCCCCCCCCCCCTTCTATTCTTCCCACTGCCCTTGGTTTGCCCATTTGCCCAAGGATTTACCCCTGCCAGTCCACACTTGGGCTGGGAGCACCGGCTATATCTGGGAGGCTCTGGAGGGTGGGGTTCAGGGCTGGGCAGGAGTGGCAGCGAGGGCTTCCTGAGAGTGGGCACACAACCATGTTGCCCACCGCACTGGCACAAGACAGCCCAGGCCATGTGGGAAGTCCCACCACCACGTGACTGTCCCTGGGCTGAGGAGATGGGCTCTACACTGGCACTTTCGGTGCTGTCTGCCCCTGGAGACAGCAGGTGAACACTGTTCCCGTCAAGTGCCACTCTGAGTGGGCCATCACACGGATGAAGAAGCAGAGACATGAAGGCTACTGCCTGCGAATGGCAGCGCCCGGAGCCCACCCATATCTGTGTGACTCTCCAGCTCTGAGCAGGACTGAGCCTGTGGGCTGCGGGTGGCGTTCTTGGCAGGGGGTGGCCTCTCCCAGAGTCCTTCGACCTGCCCAGTAGAGATCAAAGCCCTCTCCGAAACCGCAGGGTCCCAGGGACACAGCCTGCGTGCTGTGTGGCTCTATTAAACTGAGGGCCAAAAAGCCCTTCTGGGAAACAAAGGGTTAAGCCTGCTCCACTGACCTTCGTGGAGTGACTCAGTGTTCTCAGTAAGGAGAGCTTTGTTCTTCCAGCTTGGGATTTTTGCTTTCATTTAGCACACAAAAATGTGAGAGCGATTAGGCTGCTATTAATACCTGGCCTAGCCTTTCTGGATG